AAGCTGATCCCTTCAAGGACAACACTTGAGAGTGTTTCATGACAAGAATAATATTTGGGGTTTGAGGTGAAATTAGTGTTTTATAAAATTCGTATCTACCACCATAAGTTTGACAATTTCCAACACATAAAATCTTTCCTGAAGAGATCAGTAGTAATGATAGTAATTAATGAGTTTTTATATGTTATTTGATTAAATATGCCAAAATTTGGAAAACTTTCATAACATAATGATCAAGTAATTTCCAAAAGAACACAGGAAATCATACATGGATAAAAGAGCCATGAAAGCAAGGTGGACTCCTGGATTTTATTGTTAAAGGACATAAAAAGTTCTTTGATTTGGCTTCAGATTTTGCATTGCAACTAACCTTTAAGTAAGTGGGAGGGCATTTGGCCTGCTGTTTGAGACATTATTTGGGATGTCTGCATCTCATAACATTTTAAATCCTGTCTCTGGCTGCTGATTCCAGCTTCCTGTTGATGCAGACCCTGGGAGGCAGCAGGTGAGGCTCAACTAGTTGGATCCCTGTAACCCATGTGGGAGACTTGAGTTGAATTCCTGGCTTCTGCCCCACAAGCATTTGCAAGAGTGAACCAGGGACTGGAAGTTTCATGTCAAAGAAAGAAATTAGTGGAAAGTGAGTAGAAGAGAAGAATCAGGTACAGCAAAGTTTTGCCTTAGCAGTTGAGTATCAATTAGTATCACTGAATGATATAATAAAGACTATATATAAAAAGTCAAGAAGTTTGTCTTGTCTTTTGATACGTTTCATATGCCTATTAAGCATCAAGTGGAGATAACAGTTTTACTAAGTTGGGAAATGAGGTTATTGACATACAGTGCACATAGTGGCCAGGGAGCAGGTGGCAGGATATGGGTCATATATTAGATTTCCTATTTTTTCACATTTTTTCTATTTAATTTTTCATTAACATAAAGGAAACATATTTTATGCATTCCATAGGTACAGATCCAAGAACAGTATCAAACTATCAAACTTCCCTTACTCCCCTGTTCCTCCATATCCCCATCCCACCCCCTCACTTCATCAGGTTTTGCAAAGGCACAATTTTAATCCACTGTATATTCATAGGCTTGATTTGGAATAATCATAATAAAAAGCAGGAAGAAAACAGTTCCACATGAGTATAAGCAAGGGCTAAAAACAAGAATTATACTCCAAAATCATCATTTCATTCCTATGCATTTTTTGGTTTTCTATATTAACTGTCTTATCAGAGAAAATATATGATTTGTCTTTTTGAGACTGGCTTACTTCACTAAGTATAATGGTTTCCAGTTGCATCCATTTTGTTGCAAAAGCAGGACTTCATTCTTTTTATGGCTCAGTTGTATTCCATTGCATGTATATAGCACATTTTCTTTATCCAGTCATCAGCTGATGGACATCTGGGTTGGTTCCATACCTTAGCTATTGTGAACTGAGCTGCTGTAAACATGGAGTACAGATCACTCTTTCATATGCTGATTTCGTTTCCTTTGGGTAAATTCCCAGGAGTGGGATGACTGACTCATATGGTAGACCACTGAGGACTCTCCATGCTGTCTTCTACAATGGTGGTGCTAGTTTACATTCCCACCAACAGGAAATTAGGATATCTTTTTCTTCACAACCTCAGCAGCATTTATTATTTTTTGATTTTTGGATAATAACCATTCTAACTGGGGTGAGATGATACCTCGTTGTGGTTTTTATTTGCATTTCCCTGATGGCTAGCGATCCTGAGCATTTTTTAATGTGTCTGTTGTCCATTTATATTTCATCCTTTGATAATTTTCTGTTCATATCCTTGACCCATTTCTTAACTGGGTTGTTTGTTTTGTTGTTGTTGAGTTTCTTGAACTCCTTAAATATCCTGGATATGAAGCCTTTATCAGTTGCATAGTTTGCAAATTTTTTCTCACATTCTGTTGGTTGACTCCTCAGTGTGTTGAATGTTTCCTTTGCTATACAGAAGCTTTTTAGCTTGATGTAATCCCATTTATCTATTTTTGTCTTTATTAACTGTGCTTCTGGGGTCTTTTCAAAAAACTCTTTGCCTGTGCAAATATTTTGCCAAGTTCCTCCGATGTTCTATGGTATTTGGTGGTATCATGTCATAGATTTATAACCTTGATCCATTTTGGGTTGATTTTTGAATAAGATGTAGCTAAGGGTTTTGTTACACACTTCTGCCTGCAGAGATTCAATTTTCCCAGCAACATTTGTTGAAGAGACTGTCCTTTCTCCAGGGATTAATTTCAGCTCATTTGTAAAAGATTAGTTGGTCGTAGGTATATAGATTGATTTCTGGGATTTCTAGTCTGTTCAATTGGTCTAAATGTCTATTTTTGTGTCAGTACCAGGCTGTTTTGATAACAACTGCCCTGTAGTATGTCTTAAAGTCTGATGTTGTGATGCCTCCATCTTTGTTTTTGATGTTTAAAATTGCTTTAGCTACTCTTGTGTTTCAATATGTATTATAGTTCTGTATTTTCTAGAAAAACATCCTGAGAAGAATGTCACTGGTATCTTGATTGGGAGCACAATGAATCTGTAAATTGCTTTCATTAGTATGGACATTTGATGATATTAAATATTACAACCCCAGAACATGGACGATTTTTCCATTTTTGTGTCTTTTTTATTTCTTTTTAAAATGTTTTATAATTTTCTTTGTAGAAGTCTTTCACATTGTTGGTTAAATTTATTACAAAGTATTTAAGTTTTTTTGCAGCTATTGTGAATGGGGCTGATCTTAACAATTTCTTTCTCAGCCATGGCATTGTCTGTGTATACAAAGGCTATTGATTTTTGTGTCTTGATTTTGTGTCCCACAACTTTACCAAACTCTCTTATGAGTTCCAATAGACTTGGGGAGTCTCTTGGTTCCCTATATACAGAATCATATCATAGAAAAACAGGGATGATTTGACTTCCTCCTTTCCAATGTGTATCACTTTGATTCTTTTTCTTGCCTAATGACTCTGGCTAAAGCTTCCAGAACTACATGGAATACCAATAGTGCCTGGTTCTGGATTGTACTGGAAATGCTTCCAACTTTTCCCAATTCAATATGATGCTGGTTGTGGGTTTGTCATAGATCGCTTTGATTGTATTGAGGAATATTCTTTCTATAGTCAATTTACTTAAAAGTATCACATTTATTGATGTGTGTATGTTGAATAATCCCTGCATACCATGGATAAATCCCAATTAGTTCAGGTGAATGATCTTTCTGAGGTATTGGATTGAATTAGCCAGTATTTTGTTGAAGATTTTTGCATCTATGTTCATCATCTGTCATTCTCATTTTTTGTAGTATCATTTTCTGCTTTTGGAATTAAGCTGATGCTGGAATCATAGGAGGAGTTTGGCAGGATTCCGTCCTTTCAATTGTTTTGAATAGTTTGAGAATAATTGGAATTAGATCTTTTTTAAAAGTTTGGTAGAGTTTAGCAGTGAAGCCATCTGGACTGGGTCTTTTCTTTTTTGGGAGGAGCTTTATTACTGATTCAATTTCCATTTTGGTTATTGGTCTATTTAGGTTTTCTATGTCTTCATGACTCAATTACTGTAGAAAGCGTGTGTCCAGATATCAATCTATTACTTGGAGATTGTCCAATTTGTTGGCATATAGCTGTTTGTAGTGATTCCTGGTGATTCTTTTTATTTCTGTGGTATTTACATCTCTTTTTCATCTCTGCTTTAATTGATTTTGGTCTTCTCTAGTTTTTTTATTTCTTTTTCTCCTCCTTCTCCTCCTCCTCCTCCTTCTTCTTTAGTTCGGTTAGCTGGGCCAAGGGTACATCAATTTTTATTTTTACAAAAAGCCAACTCTTCATTTCACTAATCTTTTGTATTGTCTTTTCGTTTCAATTTTGTTTATTTCTTCTCTAGTTTTAATCATTTATTCCCTCCTACTAATTTTTGGTTTGTTTTGTTGTTGTTTTTCTATGACTTTGAAATGTATTGCTAGTTCATGTATCTGATGCCTTTTCAATTTCTTGATATAGGTATTAATTGCTATAAACTTCCTTTTTATCACTGCTTTGCAGTATCCCATAAATTTTGATATGTTGTGTTGTAATTTTCATTCATTTTTAGAATCTTTTAAATTTCCTTTTTGATTTCTTCTATGACCCACTGTTCATTCAGGAGTGTGTTGTTCAGGTTCCATGTGTTTGCATATTTTCTAGAGATTCTTTTTTTTCCCAAAGAAGCCTTTTATTTAAGGAATACAAACTTCATGTCTCTTTTTAAGTACAATCTTCCTACCATATCTGGCCTCTCATCTACACTCTCACCTCTCCTCCTCCTCCCTCTCCCATGTCCAGTCCCATTCTCCAGTAGATCTTTTTTCAATTAATTTCATACACAGAAGACCAACTCTATACTAAGTAAAGAGTTCAACAATTTGCACACAAAAAAAGCTGTTCCTCGACAGTCAAGACAAGGGCTGTTCAAAGTCATTGCATCTCAAAGTTAATTTCACTTCTTTTTATTTATTTTAGAAACTTAATTAACTTAAAAGAAGGACTCAAGAATGTTACATCTTTTGGGAGCACTTAGACATAACTATGAGACATAAGAATATCCTCCACTTAATACCTAAAAGAAAGTTAAGTCCTTGAGAATGAGTCTTGTCATTAATTAAAGAAGCACCTAAGAAAACAAGGAATGGAGTTGGACACTTAGGAATAACTAAGTGATGTAAGAATATCCTCCACTTAATACACTAAAACAAAATAATTTGAGAACAAGTTTTACTGTTAACACTCATACTACAACTCTTTGATGACAGAAGTCCATCATGGGGAGTTAGTCCACAGTGTGACTCCATTGTTAATCTAACAATTAGCACTCTTATGTATAACATTAGTGATCATCCAAGGCTCTTGACATGAGCTGCCTAGGCTAGGGAAGCCTTTTGAATCCACAAACTCCACCAGTATTTAGACAATGCTAATTTTCTCCTCCCTTCAGAGAAAAGTACCTCCTTCTTTGATGATCACTTCTTTCCACTAGGGTCTTACCCACTGAGGTCCTTCATGTAGGACATTTTTTGCCACAGTGTCTTGACTTTCCATGCCTGAAATGCTCTCAAGGCTTTTCAGCCAGACCAGAATGCCTTAAGAGTTGATTATGAGGTCAGAATGTTATTTAAAGTGATGTCATTCTATGAGTCAGCTGTGTGGACTGCTTCCCATGTTGGATGGTTCACTCCTCTTTAACTCTAACTATCATTATTGCCAGACAATTAATCCTATTATATGATCACTTTAACACTTAAGATGGTATTTTTACCACCCAGCTTAATGAGATTTGGAGTTTCATGGCAAGTTTTTAAGATGTACCCTTAGAAGTAAGTCCGTAAGAATGTGTGCAGAACTATGCAGCTTTACAGTTACAAACTGTATACATTTTATAATTACAACTTTAGGAATGTTGGGCACCAAAAAAATATGTTGTGCCTAGATCGTTAGATCCCCGCAGAGACCCCCAGAGAGTAGATCACACCGAACTGCAAAAGCAAGGTTTATTCGGGAGTACAAGCCGTGACAGGGACCCCATCCAACCAACCGACACAGCGGAGGAAGGAGTGAGGCCCCGGTCTTTGTTAGAGAGAGTTTTTAAAGGAAAAAAGGGCTACAGCAGCAGGAAAAAAGAGTTACATACAGCATGGAAGCTTTGGGTACAGGGAGTTACTTTGTTCAGCAGTCTCTACTGTGCTGTCCTTGGTCTGCCGAGCTAGCTGTCCCTGGTAAGCTTTGATATCTCTGGAATGCCTGAATGCCTGCTTTTAGGAGGACCCGGGTCTGCTATGGGAAACGGAGGCTGCTTTTTCATTGTTTTAAAAATGGAGTCACTTTGGTTCTTCGGGAACATGGTGATTCTTCCTACTGTGCCCATCCTCCCACCCCTCTTCCTCCATTTACTAAGATCTACTTTCAGTTTACTTTATACACATATGATTAACTCTATGTTAAATAGAGTTCAACAAATAGTATGAAAAAAGAAAGCATTCTTCAACAGTCAAGACAAGGGCTGTTGAAGTCCTTGCTTCTCAAAGTGTCAATTCACTTCTACAGATTGTTCTTTAGGTCTCTGTTACCACAGGTCAGGGAGAACATATGGTATTTATCTCTTTGGGACTGGTTTATTTCACTAAGTATGATGTTTTCCAGATTCATTCACTTTGTTGCAAATTACCGGATTTCATTTTTATTGCTGTGCAGTATTTCGTGGTGTACACATCTCGTAATTTCTTTATTCAGTCTTCTGTTGATGGCTCTTTGGGTTGATTCCATGTCTTAGCAATTGTGAATTGAGCTGCAATATACATGAGGATGCAGATAACTCTTTCATATACTGATTTCATTTCTCCTTGGTAAATTCCCAGGAGTGGGATGGCTGAGTCATATGGTAGGTCTATAGTCAGATATCTGAGGTATCTCCAAACCGTCTTCCATAGTGGCTGTACCAGTTTACATTCCTACCAACAGTGGATTAGGGCACCGTTTCCTCTACATCCTCACCAGCATTTGTTGTTTGTTGATTTCTGCATGAAAGCCATTCTAATGGGGGTGAGGTGAAACTTCATTGTGGTTTTGATTTGCATGTCCCTGATGGCTAGTGATCCTGAGCATTTTTTCATGTGTTTATTGGCCACTTGGATTTCCTCTTTTGAAAAACATCTGTTTAACGCCCTTGCCCACTTTGTAACTGGGTTCTTTGTACTGTTGTTTTGAGTTTCTTGATCTCTTTATATATTCTGGTTACTACTCCTTTATTGGTAGTATAGTTTGCAAATAATTTCTCCCATTTTGTTGGTTGCCTCTTCATTTTGCTGAGTGTTTCTTTTGCAGTACAGAAGCTTCTCAATTTGATATAATCCCACTTCTCATTTATGGCTTTGATTGTCTGTGCCTCTGGAGACTTTTCCAAGAACTCTTTGCCTGTGTCAATGTCTGGAAGGTTCCCCCAATGTTCTCTAATAATTTGATGGTATCGAGTCATAGTTTTAGGTCTTTAATCCATTTTGAGTGGATTTTTGTGTAAGGTGCAAAGTGGGAGTCTTGCTTCATACTTCTGCATGTGGAGTTCCAGTATTCCCAACTCCATTTGTTGAAGAGACAGTCCTAATACCAGGGATTGATTTTAGTTCCTTTGTCAAAGATAATTTGATTGCAGATGAATAGATTGCTTTCTGGAATTTCAATTCTGTAACATTGTTCTAGTGATACTTTGGTGTTTTTGTTTTGTTTTGTTTTGTTTTTGCTAGTACCAGGCTATTTTGATTATAAGTGCTCTGTAGTATGTTTTAAAATCTGGTATTGTGGTGCCTCTGGCATTGTTTTTGTTGTATAAGATTATTTTTCCTATTCAGCATCTCCAGGGTTTCCATATGAATTTCAGCATCATTTTTTTGTGTATCTGAGAAGAATGTCCTTGATATTTTGATTAGTATCACATTGAATCTATAAATTGCTTTTGGAAGTATGGACATTTTGATGATATTGATTCTTCCAATCCATGAACATAGAAGATTTTTCCATTTTTTTTAACTGCTTCTATTTCTTTCCTGAATGTTTTGTAATTCTCATTGAGAGGTCTTTGATATACTTGGTTTAATTTATTCCAATGCATTTGGTTTTTCTTATAGCTATTGTGAATGGGATTGATCTTATAAGTTTTTTCTCAACAATGGCATTGTCTGTGTATACAAAATATGTTGATTTTATATTCTGCTACTTTACCAAGCTTTTCTGTGAGTTCCAATAATATCTTACTGGAGTCTTTGATCCCTTATGTATAGAAACATGTCATCTGCAAATAGGGATAATCTGACTTCCTCCTTCCCAGTATGAATCCCTTTGATTTCTTTTTCTTGCCTAATGTTTCTGGCTAAAACTTCCAGGACTTATTGAATAGCAATGGTGAGAGTGGGGATCCTTGTCTGGTTCTGAATCTCAGTGAGAATGCTTCCAACTCTCCCTCATTCAATTAGATGCTGGCAATGGACTTTCCTAAATTGCCTTGATTATGTTGAGGAATGTTCCTTCTATACCCAGTTTGCTCAAAGTTTTCATCATGGAAGGGTGTTGTATTTTATCAAATGCTTTTCTCTGCGTCTATTGAGATAATCATATGATTTTTGTTCTTCAGTTTGTTAATGTGATGAATCACATTGATTTATTTGCAAATGCTGAACTGTCCCTACATACCAGGCAGAAATCCCACTTGGTCTGGGTGAATGATCTTTTTTATGTTGTTGGATTCGATTGGCTAGAATTTTGTTGATTTTTGTGTCCATGTTCATCAGAGAAATTAGTCTGCAGTCCTCTTTCTCTGTTGCATCTTTTTCAGGTTTAGGAATTAAGGTGATGCTGGCTTCATAGAAAGAATTTGGGAGATTCCCCCCCTTTCAATTGTTTTTAATAGCTTGAAAAGAATTCCAGTTCTTTAAATGTCTGGTAGAATTCAGCAGTGAATCCGTCTGATCCTGGGCTTTTCTTTGTTGGGAAGTTCTTTATTACTGGTTCAATTTCCGTCTTGGTTATGGGTCTGTTTAGGTTTTCTATGACTTCATGGCTCAATTTAGGTAGGTTATATGTATATAGGAATCTATCCATTTCTTCCAGGTTTCCTGAGTTTTGGTAGTCTCTGATGAACCTTTTTATTTCTGTGGTATCTGTAGTTATATTTCCTTTTTCTTCTCTAATTTTATTAATTTGGGTCTTCTCTTTGCTTTTTTTCTGGTTAGTTGGGCCAATGGTATGTTAATTTTGTTTATTTTTTCAAAAACTCAGATCTTAATTTTTCTGATATTTTGTATTTTTTAATTTCTCTAATTTTAATTATTTCTTTTCTCCTACTAGTTTTGGATTTGGTTTACTGTTGTCCTAGGTCTTAGAGATGCATTGATAGCTCATTTATTTAGTGCCTTTCCAATTTCTTGATATAGGCACCAACTGCTATAAACTTTCCTCTTAATACTGCTTTTGCTGTATCCTATAAGTTTTGATATGTTGTATTTTTGTCTCCATTTGTTTCCATAAACATTTTGATTTCTATTTTGATGTCTTGAATGACCCAATGTTCATTCAGGAGCGTGTTGTTCAGTCTCCACATGTTTGTGTATGTTCTAGAGATTCCTGATTTGCTGATTTACAGCTTCATTCCACTGTGGTCCAAGAAGTGCATGGTGTGATTTTGACTTTTTGAGTTTGCTGAGACTTGCTTTATGGCCAAGCATGTAATCAGTCCTAGAGAAATTTCTATGCACTGGTGAGAAGAATGTGTATTGTGTGGCTTTAGGATGAAAAGCTCTGTAGATACCTGTTAGGTACATTTGGTCTTTAATGTCAGTTAACTCAGCTATTTCCTTGCTTATTTTCTGACTAGTTAATCTGTGTTCCATTGCTGAAAGAGGGGTATTGAAGTCCCCCATTACTATTGTATATGAGTCGGTGTTTCCCTTTAGATCCCTCAAAATTTCCTTTAAATAGCCAAATGCCCTGTAATTAGGTGCATATACATTTATAGTTACATATTCCTGTTGAATTGATCCCTTAATCATTACATTTTGCTCTTCGTTGTCTCTTTTAACACTTTTGTGTTAAAATCTATTTTGTCTGATATTAGGATGGCTACATCATTTCTTTTTGGGTTTCTGTTAATATGGAATATCTTTTTCCATCCTTTCTCTTTCATTCTGCATGCATCTTTGTAGGTAAGATGTGTTTCTTGTAGGCATCAAATAGATGGGTTTTGTTTTTTAATCCATTCAGCCAGTCTGTATCTTTTAACTGGAGAGTTGAGGCCATTTACATTCAAGGTGACTGTTGATAAGTAATGACTTTACCCTGACATTTTTCCAAAAATATTCTTGTTGTTTACTTTGGGTTTCCTTTGTACTTTTACTGGGAAATATTCTGCCTTTACTTTCATAGTGATGACCATGTTTCTATGTGAAGCACATCTTTAAGCATATTTTGCAAGGCTGGACAGGAGGTGACAAATTCTTTCAATTTTTCTTTGTTATGGAAGGTCTTTATTTCACCATCATTCATAAATGAAGGCTTTGCGGGGTATAGTATTGTGAGTTGATCATTTTTTTTTTCTTTTAAGACTTGGAATATATCTCACCATTCTCTCCTAGCCTGTAGGGTTTCTGATGAGAAGCCCACTGTGAGTCTAACTGGACTGCCTCTGAAAGTAATCTGGACCCTGCATCCATGTGGGAGACTGAGAAGAAGCTCCTGGCTCCTGGCTTCAGATCAGCTCCATTCTAGCCATTGCAGCCATTTGGGGGAGTGAATCAGTGAATAGAAGAC